GGGGGGGGGGGGGGGGGGGGGGGGGATGAATCAATATGATAAAGATGTGGTTCCAAGAAATTTGAAATATGAAGAGAGGAAGGAGGTTGGGCCTAGGAGCTAGGAATAACAGGAAAGTGAGTTTCATCAAATTGAGCATGGCGGGTAATATAGCTTAGTGGTGGTGGGATCAAGATAGCAGAACTCTTTATGAGCAGGACTATAACAAAAAAAAAAAAAAGGAATGCTGCGGAGAGAAAGTTCGTTAGGCATATAATCACGCAAGTAAGGATAAACACGACAACCAAATGGATGAAAATTGTCATAATGCGGAGAGTAACCATAGAGGAGTTCAAAGGCTGACTTACCTTCAAGAAGTGGAGTAGGCAACCAGTTGATAATATAAGTTGTAGTGTTGAAGGCGTCAACCAAAAAACAAGGAAAAAGATGGGAGTGAAAGAGAAGGGTCAAGCCAGTCTGATCACATGACGATGTTTTCTCTCAACACGACCATTTTGAGCAAGTGTATATGGACAAGAGAGTTGATGGTGGATGCCAGACGTATGTAAATGAGTTTTGAAACAAGTGCTAGTAATTTCGGTACCTCCATCGCTTTGAAATACCTTGATACGAGAAGAATATTGATTTTCCACAAATTTTTGAAATTGGAGAATATCAAAGAAATCAAATTTTAATTTTAAAGGGTAAAACCAAGTGAATCGAGAATAATCATCAATAAAAATAACATAGTAAAGAAAACCCGAATTTGATTTGACAGGGGAAGGACCCCAAAGATCATAATGAATAAGATCTAATACATGAGACGACCTACGTTCATTGCGGGAATAAGGCAATCGATGACTTTTCGCAAGCTGACAAGTACTACATAGTGATGGAGAAGGCTATTAAAGACGTAAGAGAAAGATGACCTTTTCTATTTAAAAAAAAAGTAACAGAATGATTCACATGACCCAGGCGAGCATACCATAAATCATATGAAGCACGTAAAGATTTGTTTCTAAGTACTGAAATAAAAGCATGGTTGTCGCGCTCTAGCACATATAGCCCTCCATCTCTTTTACCGGTTGCCACCACCCTTCCTGTTTGACGATTCTGGATAGTAAGAAGATTATTAGTAAATGTAACGGAAAAAGGAAAATCAGACGTTAATTTACTTATTGAAAGAAGATTTTTAGTGAGATGAGGGACAACAAAGACATCTAATAAGTGAATATTTGGAATAGGAGAAAGAGTACCAATGTGGGTAATGGGCAGGGATGCCTGTTTCCTACGATCACAAAGTCCTTACCCGTGTAATTTTTAGAGTGATCCAAAATAGATGGGTCGGCGGTCATATGGGCTGAAGCCCCAGTATCCAGAGACCAATCAGCAGCATCGGGTCCAGCAATAAAACAGGACGTGTTGAAGACTTCAGCAAGGTGAGCATGAGTAGAATCAGGTCGAACACACCGTTGGTTGTAGCGG